ACTGAAGCTCCGTGGGCAGTGTCATGCGGTCCTACAGCAGAAGCAGAAGTTCGGTCTTGCATTCAAGCTCGGAAGCGAGGTTAGGCAGCAGGATCGGATGAGCTCTCTCCCACTCTCTTCAAGATGGGGGCTAATAACCTCGTAAGCTCTCTTACTACCCTGCTGTGCAACATTTGGACACAAGGGCGCATTCCTTCATCTTGCGACGAATCACTAATCGTTCCCATTTTCAAGAAAGGATGTCGCAACGACTGTGAAAACCACCGCGGGAAGGTCATGGCTGCAAAACGACAGCAATGGCTATCATGCGGTCACTTCTTATCAGTCCAGAATGCTTGTATTAGTATGTATGCACAGTTGGGCTGTGTACTCTGTGTTGACCATAGAGGTTCGCTCTCTTTTCCTGTCTCCAAAAAAGGCCCAATCCCTGTCCCCCTTACACATTCTCATGTATCTTGTATGCATTATGAGTTTGCAGCGATCGGTGAAGTTCGCTTCACTGTATTACGCTGTACAATGATGAATGATGGGATCAGTTTGATCCAAAGTGCTAGCTTCAGTTATACTTCGACGTCTGACGCCTTTCAGAGAGACCAACATTGGTGAACAGCGAGCCGGATTCCGGCCTGACCATGAATGTACTGATCAAATTTTTACGTTGCGTTAGATCCTTGAGCTGCGTCACACCCACCGTCGACCAACGATCACAGTGTTCCTTGACCTGAAAGGAGCCTTCGACTCAGTTGATCACGAAGTTCTGATGGGCTCCCTTGGGAAAGAAATGTCCCAGAAGTACGCTAACCTACTGAGGTCACTGTACTCACAGAACTTCGATCGTGTAAAGGTTTACAACAATCTTAGTAGGCCGTTCGTCACCAGTAGCGGCGTCCGTCAAGGATGCCCTTTTTCGCCATTCCTGTTCAATGTCGTCGTAGACGAAAAACTGGAGAATACACTAAGTGGACTCCAAGACGTAGGTATTGAATGGGCAGCTGGAGAAAAGCTGTGCGAGTTAGCGTACGCCGATGACATCGTCTGTCTGTTCGAATGTATGGAGGACGCGCAAAGCGCACTTGATAGATTAACAAGTGCAGTAGTCACATTCGGTATCTGCTTTGCACCTTCAAAGTGCAAAGTGATGCTACAGGACTAGGTTTCATTTACTCCCGCTCTGCAACTAAATGGTCAGGATTTAGTTGTGGTGGATTAATTTTCCTACTCAGGTCGTTGCGTGATCAATGATGGTAGTGCAGCAAAGGAGATAACCGCTCGCATTTCCAAGGCTCGAGCAGCATACGCCGGACTGAAACACCTTTGGCGTAGACGCGACGTTTCACTGAAAGGTCGTGTTTATTGTGCTAGCGTTCGTTCTGTCCTGCTTTATGGTTGTGAGACCCTGAATTTGCGAGTAGAAGATATCCGATGTTTACTTAGTTTAGCCCACGTGGACTGGAGCGAACGGGTTAGTAACGTGGAGGTAAGCCGTCATGTGTTTGGGAGTCTGTCAGGTATAAACCTGCT